ATAGTTTTGGGGAAAGAGGGAGAGGTGGTCTCTCCCCAGAAGGAACCCCTTTTCCTTCTTTCCAGCCACCCCCCTTCCTCATCCCCCTCCCCAGAAGGAAATAAGAGTGAAGTTGAGGTTTGGGGGAACAATACCTGACCATCCTGCCTTCTACTCACCTCCACTCTGGTTGTAGCGATTTCTTAAGATCTGCAAGTTCTCTCTGAACACCTGCTCAGCATTCCAGGATATCTGGGTGTTCCTGTCCCAATACTGGGGGTCATCCTCATCCACCTTCTTGATCCAGGGTGCCCGAGGCTGCTCCCTTCTTACAACACTGTCATACTGGCTGAAGAGATGGCCGTCCACGTACCCCACTGTGATGAACTGGGGCAGCCCCTGGTTGGGTTCAGATACCCCTGTGTAGAAATAGCGCAGGGAGTGCGAGGAGGAGCCTGGAAAGGGATGGAAAGAGGATGGATTGAGGAGGATCTGTGGATGAGAAAAACACCCCTGAACCGCAGCCACAGTCTATTCATGTTTAAAATGTTGACTCACTAGCCCCACCCAGGAGTATCCTATGTTTTTGTTTCCATGTATAAATGCACCTCCATGGAGGATGGCCAGATTCCTGTATACGGAAACAAAGATAATAAGTGGCTTAACAAAGGGTGGGGGGAAAGACATGAATGAAAATGAGGTAAATGGGGAAAGTGCAGAACTGAGGAAAGGGAATAAGTAAGTCTTTGGAGGCAAGAAAGAGTGCAGGGCAGAATAAACAAACGTCTCCTGAATTTGGCATTTTTTTTACAGCTGTTGCTTCTCATCTTCTGATCTTCTCATGTAACATGAGGATTCACTGTTTATTTCTAGTCTAAATTTTATTTACTTAACTGCTCGGAAGCAGCTATCTATTTTAAAAATCGGCTTATATTACTTAATTCTGCCCCAAAGCAGTGGCTGTTGCTTGAAAGAGTCACTTTTGTTTACATTAGCTGCTTGATGGCAATGGACCTGCCATTAAGCAGGGAAATAAACATTCATATGTCATCCTTTTATCAATTCAGCTTACAAGCAAAATTAAAATGTATCTACACCAATTACCCATCAGATGCCAATATTTACTGTTATCATTATGTATAGATTGGAAAGCAAAACAGAATTGGGGATTGCCAAAAATTAGTCCTTTCAAGGACCTTGCTGGTACTGCAGCCAATTCACTGTTTTCAGAACACTTGTAGTCAACAATATCTTTATGCTGCAAGTTTAAAAGTACTTTACTTTTAGGGCAGTTTTAGAGCTGTTTCTATACCTTTGATAACCGTTTTAATTCCTAAACAGACAAGGTATCAAACCCTGGCACTTGGTACTCCTCCCAGCCATCAGAATTCAGATAACCTTATCAACTGACTCTGCTCTGCTCATGCTGCTACTAAATATCAGGGATGATGGACTTTGCCCTGGGTGCACTATTCGAGGTCCTCCAGACTTTTACTTCTGGGGGATGTTAACGTCAATGTGGAGATGCATGTTACCAGGGTAGCCTTGGAGTTCATGGACACCATGTGCCATGAAGTAAGGCAGAAGGGTCCCTGTATATTGAAAGCACTTTGGGCAGCTTCAGACTCAAGGTCATCTAGACAGACCCCAGGGATTTTTGACAATTACTTAAAGATGAATCATAAACTAAGAAGCCAAATAAGAATGAGTGCCCCCCTTCAATGGGGGGTGGAGTCGTCAACCCACAGGGGAGCTGGCTCTAACTTCACTTGCTTTGAAAGGGAACAGTTTTCCATGAAGAGAACCCACTTTTAAGGCCGAGCTCTCTGTTTAGCTTCTTTCAACTAGTTCAAAAAAGTTTTAGGAGCCAATCTTCTGCCTCTGGTTGTGTCTGCAGTGAAGAAAAGGTCAAGTCACCCTTCAGCCAAGACCCAGAAATCCCCAAAACAAGACCCCTTTTGCCCCAAATGGGGTGGATGGGGCACAGGCAGATCTTCCACCCCCACTTTGTCTTTAAAAAAAACCTTGAATGCTAGCTTAAAATTAAAAAAAATCATTTGGGGGGCTGCTTTCTGCAGGGTCAAGCAAAACTCTGAGGCATGGCACTGGATCAGGCCCATCTCCAGCAGGAGACATATCCCAGCCATATAGAAGGCTTCTTGGTCTGCTTCCCCTCCCTCTGGCTCAAACTATTTGATAAAGCAGGAAAGGCAGAGCTTGACCTGTGCAGAGAAGTTCACAAGCACGGGATGGGTTTCTCCATTCCCCTCTGCCTGCCCCCCCCCCCGCAAGGCAGCCCAGCAGGCGGCTCTTAAGGGTACCAAATGCTGGGGAAAGGGCATAAAATGAATGCTACAGATGATGAACCATTCGGCTCAAAGAGAACACATCATCTGGATAGGAACTGACCCACCAGGCCAGGGTCGCATGCAGTCCCTAGAAGCTGACACCCCATCATCACACCTTTTGGGAGTGTGTGGCGAGCGGGGACCCTACAGATTGTGAAGCCATTTAAACTGGTCAGCAGAGAGAAAAAGGATGGAGGAAACAGAAAAGAGGACCTTGGATGGCTAACGCATTAACAAGACAATAAAAAAATATGCCCAAGAGCGGGAAACGTGACTGCTCTGGACTACAAGGGCCATATTCCCCAAACCAAGGCGTTTGCAACGTTCCCCCGCTTTTGAGGTTGGCTGGGAGATTTTGGGGATCCAGGCAACAGTTTCCACGCCCCAGGTGTTGCGCCCACCAGGGCCCCGATGCATTAGCGAGGGCAGCGGTTCCTTCCGTCCCTTCGCCGCCCATCCGGATCTTGCTCCGCGTCCACTTCGACGGCGCTCCGAAGCAGGAAAAGGGAGCGGCTCCTGCCCCGTCCGGCTTCCCAAACATGCAAGTCAGGGGCGGAGAAGGGGAGACGCTCAGAGCCCCTTTCCTTCGTCCTCACCCCCCAGCAGATCGACTGAGACAAAACCTCCTTCCCCCGCCCCATGTAAACGGAATATTTATTTATTTGACTTTTATACCGCCCATCCGGTTGCAAGGCCACTCAGGGCGGTTTACAACATAATATCAAACAATAGAAAATGCTGCGAATTCCCTCCTCCTCCCTTCCCAACACGGGTGACTCCGAAGTTGCGCCTCCTTCGGAGCGCTCGTCACAGCCGCTCAACATATTTTGCAGCCCGAGGCAGGGGTAGCAAAGCGGGGTCCTCCTCCCCGTCCCCAAAAGCCCCCCCCCAAGCGCTTCGGTCCCTGGGAGGAAAAGCAGGACTCACCTAGGACCGTCAGCCCCGGAAGAAGCAGGGCGGCCACCCCCGCCAGCCAAAAGTGAAGTGGCATCGCTTCGCTTCGCAGCAAAGCCGCTCCTCCGCAAAAGCCTTAATCCGAAGTCCGAGAAACGAACCCCAGCCTCCAAGAGCGAACGAAAAGTGCGGATTGGCTACGGTGAAAACTTTCGACCAATAGTAAAGATGGTCTCCATTGTCGTCATCGGCTGCCGGGCAGAGAACGCGACGCAAGGAAAGAGAAAGTCACTTCGTAAATGTTTT